GTGTGTCTCTGTATGTGTGTGTCTGTGTGTGTGTGTCTGTGTGTGTGTGTCTGTGTGTGTCTGTGTGTGTGTGTTTGTGTGTGTGTGCGCGCGCGCGCGCGCGTGTGTGTGTGTGTGTGTGTGTGTGTGTGGTGTGTGTGTGGTTTTTTTTACTCGTGCTTGTGTTTGGTTATGAGAGTGTACATTTGTATTAGCGTGTGTGTAGCCTATATTCGTGGTTGGAAGTTCAATGCTTGTTTCAGTTCTTTTTTTTTCAGCGGACACATGGGGTGTCTACAACGAGACGAGGGTTTTTTCAAAAAAGATTTTGTACAGTTGCAGAAGTTCAATGGAAGGTGGCATCAGGGCTCTGCAGGCCTCGGAAATAAAACAGTCAGTGTTCTCTGTGCTAAATAGCGGCCAGTCTGATGATCGATCCCAAAAGTTAGAGTGCAAAAACGGCGTAAGAGGAACTAAAGGATTGTCCCGGCCTGATTTCCTCAGTTCTTGTCGCCAAACATCCAGAGGAACGACATTTAAAGGAGTGTCTGCAAACAACTCTTTAAATGACACGGTCGACTCGTTGAACAAGTGGTAGACGTGAGGCATCTCCCTGCTGGGGTCATTGCAGATTTGAACCATTATCTCGATCATCGCTCTTGCGCAGAAATTGACTGGCGTGAGGTCAAAGGGGAAATCTAGGTCAGGGACGAGTCCCAGCTGTTTTATGCCAACAAGTAGGGCAGCGAACAAGTCATTAGTGGGGCCGACACCGGTCTTCGAGCTCCCTGAGACTCGTGCTGGTCGAAAAATGGCGCCGCCAGGGACCATGGGTAATGCTTGTAGCACAAGTTGCTCAGACGCCCACTTACTCTGATTGTACCCGCCAGAAAGACAAGTAGGATCTTTAATTGTTTCGTTTTCTGTGAACATTGTCCTAGTCTTTACTTCAGCCTCTTGCAGGTTGATGACCGTTTCAGGTGAAGAGCTAGGCTGTTTCGTCAAAGGAGGTTTCGCATGAATACTGTGTTTAGTGCAAATGTCTCTTCTCTGATTGCCGTTGATGTCCATCAGTTGACAGTCAGATTTTTTGTCCATCTCCATCTTGTCAGCTTTTTGTTGTCCATTTCCCATCCCACCATCTATCACTGCATGGGTGCTTTCATTGCTTTGTCCACTATCTACATTTCCAAAGTACTCAATTCCATTTTTTGAAGTATGGTGTCCATTTTGTACCGTGTCGCTCTCAGACCTGTCCTTTCCATTATTACGTGCGCCATTTTCATTTCTCGATGTCACCAAAAATTTGTTCGAACGGTCATGTTCTGTTCCCAGTCTGACGAGTTCACTTTCTGGAACGCATGGTTCCTTTTCTTTGTTTTGGTTTTTGTCAAGACTGTTCTCGTGGAATGTTTTTAGATGCTTTTCTCCTTTAAAAGGAACGTTCTGCAGCGCTGTTTTCTTCATTCGTGATGTTGCAGTGTTCAGGGTTGGTTGTTTGGCTTCACTGCCCGGATCCCTCTGTTCACAGTTCAATGCGTTCTGGCAAAGTGTGTGCAAGTTTTGCGTTTGACATCCAATATGATTTGTAAATCTTGTTTGCAGCTTGAAACTGTCAAGAGGAGGGAAAAGAAAGACCCCTAAAGAAGAAGTGCTGAAAATGTACTTCTTCTTTCCAGTCAAGGCAAATTGTATGAAGTCTTTGGTGCCAATCACATTTGCTAGTCTGTGATCCTCGTAGTCAGTGTTAAAGTTCATCTTAGCTCCGTTCATAAACACAACGTCCACCAACTTGCAAAGTTTTTCGTACTCCTCTGAAACAATTCCAAGCTGAGGCTTTGAGAGGTCAGACAGGACGATGTTTATTCGTGGGATGTAGGTCTGTCGCCACAATCCGTATGTCTGCATGTTGGACACGACACGTCTCAGTCCCCCTGCCTGGCTTGTGTCCCTGACCATACAATGGATTGTGGCCTCAGTTTGTTCTAGCGTCTCGTAAAGCAGAAAGGCTCCCAAAAAGCCGGTGACGCCCGACAGCATGATGTTCTGAGGAGGGATTAAATCGCTTCCAACGTAGAACTGTATCTGTTTAACCTCGTGGTGAGGAACTGCATGACTGCCGATTTTGTTGACATCAAGCATGGAATCTTTCAGGATAAGATTTCTTAACGCTGTGGTATCTTTTGCCTCGTAGTTAGCAGCTCTTTCCGGAGAAGTGTTTTTCTCTCTGATTACTTTGACATAATCGCTAAGAGTTGATGCACTTACAATGTCTTTGAAAGATAAACGAGTTTTGAACGTGTCCTCAATTTCCCTCTGGAGCAGAACAAGATGAAGAGAATTCCCCCCAAAGTCAAAGAAAGATGAGTTTGGCTGCATACTGTGGCCACGCGTCTCCTCAATTTGTAACACCTGACACCAGAGTGTTGCCATAGCCAACTCTTCGTCACTGAGGTGTCCTGTTTCTGTGGATGAAACGATCTCGTACAAAGAATCGTCTCGTTCTAGTTTCTTCCTGTCTACTTTTCCATTGGATGTCAGTGGAAAGTCTTGGAAGTCCATGATCTTCACAAAAGTAGGCATCATATACTTGGGCAAAGCTGTCGCTAGATACTCACGTAGCTCTGACGTAGACAACAGGGCTGGAGCCACGAAGGCGGCGATGCTTGGCTCCACAGACGTCTGAAGTTGGCGTTTCACCACAACGGCCATGTCCACTTTGCTGTGTTGCAAGATGATCTGTTCAATTTCACTGAGGTCCACCCTGTGTCCACGTAGTTTGACCTGGTGGTCAAGCCGACCCACATAGGTCAAAGTGCCGTCCTGTGACTGGATAGCGTGATCCCCTGTTTTGTAGAGGACGTCTTGACTGTTCAAAGGATTAGCTACAAAACGCTCCTTGTTCTTTGACACTGCGTGACCAATATAACCCGCAGACACACCTTTTCCTCCGATGTATATCTCTCCGATCACATCCGGTGGTACAGGTTTCATGAAATCATCAAACAAATACAGGCGGGCTCCTGGGATTTGTTTGCCAATTGGAAGATCAAATGTTGCATTGTCTTCCTCATTCTGACCCTCGTATTTGTAGACAGTGGCACACACTGTACACTCCGTAGGCCCGTAAGCGTTGAAAAAGTTGATACCTGGCACACTAGACCATTTCACAGCCGTGTGCATCGTGCAAGCTTCTCCAGCCGTTATGACATTTTTCAGTGACGGGAAATCATCCGGTCCATAAATATTCAACACAGACGGCGGTAGTGTGATGGTGGTCACTCCAAGTGACGTCACTGTATGCGTAAGTTCTTTCCCAAGACGCTCAGAGTTCTTGAGGACTGCCAAAGTGGCACCACTGAGAAGGGCTGTGAAGATTTCTGAGATGGTCGCATCGAAACTGATAGCAGCGAACTGGGCCACCACATCTGAAGGGGACAGATTCCAGAGAGATATTTGAGCTCGGGCCATGTTGAGAACACCTTGCCGGGTTACCTGGACACCTTTTGGGCGACCTGAGAAAAGGAATAACAACACGTGTCAAGTTTATTTGCTTCGGTGAGAGGGAAATAATGCGGAATAATGTTTTTAAATGCTAGTGTTTTTATGCCATTACCAACACAATTTTTTATCATTTAAGGCGCAGGCTTTGATCATGCCTGCCAGGGCGACCCGGGCTGAGAGGGACACATTATCATAGCAGAAAAATACTAGAGAAAAATTCCTTCCACTCAGGAATTGAACTCGGATCTCAGGTATGCGACGTCGACACACCTGTCTGCAATTCATAGACGCCGGTGTTAATAAGTTGTAGGACAAAGAACAAAACAACTTTAATAGATAGGTCATACGGACAGATCATGTGACTGATCCCATTTGGTATTCCATTTAATTTACAATTGCGCTTTGTTTCTAAACACATTTTAAGGGCAACCTAACACTACAGACGCTGAGGCGACTGTTTACTAGTTAAGCGTCCTGCTTGATACAAAAAGGTTACCACAAAGAGGGCCCTACTCTGTAAATTTAGGGTTTTTTTTGGTTCACCTGTTCGAGTGGACACTCGGCCAATAAATCGTCATGACAGAGATAAAGAGATAAGGATAGAAGACATAAGATGCAAGAACAATAAACGCCCCCCACAATGCATTGTTGTTGCACATATTGATGCTGCTGTTGACAGGATAGAGGACTGTCGATATCACACCTTCCCTTATTCCGATTCACTTTCACAGACAATAAATAAATATCTTTTAGTTTTATAGCACAGATTTGAGACCTGTATCTCTATAATATAGTTAATATATGCTAGATCTAGTATTTATTGTCGACGTCAATAGGCAGTTCCTACAATATTTTCCATGCAATGTACTAGTCAAGAGAGAGGGGGAGAGATAGTGAGAAAAAAAAAAGAGAGAGAGAGAGAGAGAGAGAGAGAGAGAGAGAGAGGGGGGGGAGTAGGTGGGGGTGAATTCTAATATTTTAGGAGGAAACAGTAATAGGATACAATTTTTTCCGTACTAGAAGAAAGCCTCACCAGTCGAACCGGAAGTGTACATGACGTAGCAGCAGTCCGGGTCAAGGGTCACTTTTGTTTGGTCATCCTGTATATCGAGCTCTGCCAGACTGGAATAAGAGAACACCTCTGGGAGCCCGCCAGATTCGGCAAACTGTGTGACGTCAACTGCTTCGATCTGTAAAGAAGTGTGTGAGTTTGAAAGAGAATGGTAAGTGTAAGGACATCAATTGATAAAGTCCTGATGCAAGGGGGAATCGACCATCAGACATATAGATAGTTTTTTTTAAGTTGAATGAGTGAGGAAAACCGTTGAACTCTCAACTCCGATAAGCAGCGGCACAATTTGTGCTTCTCGGTACAATAAAGAATTTTTGAAAAACAAAACATAGACTAATGTTACACTTTATGCAGTATGTTGATGACTTTTGATGATGAGGATATAAAAAGAATACAATAGTGTTTCTCCGAAACAGTCACAAGAAGCAATATATCATAATTGTTGTGGCTCACTCATAATGATAATATACGCGTGTGAGTGTGAGTCGAGAGACATGATGGTGTGTGTGTGTGTGTGTGTGTGTGTGTGTGTGTGTGTGTGTGTGAGTGTGTGTGTGTGTTTGTGTGTGTGTTTGTGTTTATGTTTGTGTTTGAGTGTTTGTGTTTGTGTGTGTTTGTGCGTGTGTGTGTGTGTGTGT